ACTAGTTAAAATTACGTTACATATCGGAAACACATCGAAAATTTAGTTTAAAATCGAAAAAAAACATGGCGTCACCTGTTATTCGCGAGATAAGTTGCTACGCTGCACGTATCGATGATATAAAATTGTATGTACATTATGTTTTGTCATTACAAATTAAGAATTTATTATAAAAATGCTATAATTAATAGCGAAAATATCAGGTGCAATGGAAAGTCCCATTATAGTTATGATCAAGAACATAATTATTAATTGCTTTTAATCGATATACATTAATTTATACAACATGTAGTGCGAAATTATAATATGCAAGGATTGATGCGTGTTAACAAAGTAAAAGCTTAATGCGAGCCAACATAGATATTGATGTATATAATTTTTCTCGGGAATGAGTTTACACAGTCATAATTAAGCTCAAACCTTCTTCTTTAATTTGAAAAAAATGCAAATTGCTACAATTTTTTTCACAAAGTTGCAGCATTATAAAACAATATCCAGCCTCATACAAGTAGAACATGGCGGAATTGCAGGATATTGTAACATAAATTGTAATAAAATTATTATTATTATACACACCAACATCCGTGTTGACTCGCATATTAGGCTTTACTTCATTATATATATATTTCTGCAGGTTAATTATTGGAAACCTAGCTATTTCCTTTCAATTTAAATTTATTTGATTTGAATTCTACATTGCCTGAAATATCAAGATATTGTTTATATACATAAATTGGTTATTAGAATATCATCATATGCTTCGAACGGTAGGATACCTACTCTGCAAGGTTTGAGTCCGGGCTAAGATGATATTTTCCACAATAAATTTTTTAAAAGTTTTGGAGGGAGGGGGATTCTTATAGATGTTTGTAGCAAAAATATTAAATTAAATGAATGATTGTTTATATCGACACAGTTAATCAAATTGCAGCATATAACTATATTTGTACTAGGAATGCTTAAGGGTCCTGTTGCTATCCAGTCTAACTTCGTCTTTTGCATCACAAAATGCGCCTTTCCTATCTTAATCTGTATAATGTGCACCACAGGGAGTTTGGCGATCGAATTTTACATATCGTGTGTGTATGTGTGTGTTTTATACACGCACAAACGCACACAATGTGCAAAATCCAATAGCCAATCTTCCTGAGGTGCACATCGGGTAATGCCGACTGTACATGAGAAAAATACAAGTATTTCTTTAAAATGCTGTAACTTTGTGAAAAAAAAAGCGTAGCGACTTGCATTTTTTTTCAAATTAAAGAGGTTCGAGCTTTATGATTGTGTAAACGGCATTCCCGAGAAAAATTTTACCAAGTCCGTACATTTCCGTCAAACATTGTAATTTTCAGTATGGCAAACATGCTCACAGATTTAAGAATTTACAGTAGTAGGGGTGCATTGAATTTGATACAGAGTATCTTAAAATATCTCTTAAAATGATAAAATTATCTACTCGACTCTTTGATTTAACAGTGTCGCATTAAATTCAACGGCTTGAATCTTTAAACATAAAAATTTTGCCACGTACTGCTTGAAAACTTTTCGGGGGTAGTGTATGTTTATATAACCTTTCTTTCTTTTTGAGTTCCGAATCACCTCCGAAATATTGCGGGCGTTTTTCTGGACACCCTGTATATGTTCTTATATCAAAAATTTTCTTACCGGAGATATATTCGACTCGAAGGACCATGCTGAGTATGATTGGATGAATCAATGTGGATCACTGTATATTTCACTAAATTTTATTTTATTTTGCACAAGCTAGATCAAGCATGTTCGCTCATGATAAGAGACAACTGCCATTTTGCCTTCTTCTTGAAGAGCGTTGTTAACAAAACTGCGCGATTATAATATAAGGCCATCACACGTACAAAAATTTTAGTCGTAAACATAATTAATACTGTAAGCAAATTGATCAATCACGATCAAAATTGCAGTCTTACATTTTAGAATGTTCAACTGTGATTGATTAATATATTTACGACTTGGTTACGATTAAAATTTTTGTACATGTGATATATGTGATATATATATTTAGTGACACGAATGAAACAAGAAGCGCGGGCTAAATTTAAAAAAATACTATACAAGTGCTTATTAAATAGTTAAAATGTGCTTAACGCATAAAATAATAATGTATTTATAATTGTTTTTATTATTGTTGTTAATATACTAATAATTCATTTGATAATTTAAATACAAACTTTAGGTAAACAAAAAATTGAGCACAACTATAATTCTCTCATAATTACTGAACAGATATCGATGTAGTTATCATTCTAGAAAAATATTAATGAAATAATAAAAAAACTATTGCAACGAATGAGTGTATATTTTTAATTAGCATTAAAAATGATAGGAAATAAAAATTTTTCATAAAAATATATAATGCAATATTAAACGTTTATTACAATATGTACATTTGTACACGAGAGGCACAAGTACATTTATAATATTATATAATATTTAATCATTATAATATTTAATGATGCTAATTACAACCGCAAAATCGTCGAAAAGAAGATGTCATGTGTTTTATACACAGTGCCACATTCTTTACTTTTTCATAACTTCTTCGCATAAATTTTTATTAAAAATATTTAATTTAGAAATTTTTTTTAATAGAGAAAGCTATTATCAAAGCCATTTTTCTCATCAATACTTTGATATAAATTACGCTTATATATTAGCATTGTACATTGCCTTGATTTTTTTAATATCTGAGATGCTAAGGCCTTTTCTCTGACCGATTTGTGCATTTGGTGGTTTCTGAAACATTTCAAAAATTATTTTTATATATGCTTAAAACATATATACATAGAAATGTACAATTTGATGCAATACGCATAACTTGCAAATTTGTATAATTAATTATTTTTTTGTGTTTCTGTTTCAGAACGGTGTGTGAATCGATAGCTCGTATCTACCTCCGTTCAAAAATTAAACTACTCTAACAAAGGAATAACCGTTTTGACGACGATGATCGACGTATAGAACGTTTATATTGTAAAAATATAATGATTACTTACTTTTGTAATAATCGTTTTTATTTTGGTGTTGTTGGCAAACGCGTACGCTGAATAATGCATTACGCTACCGTAATCGTAAGTGACATTATAAAAGGTGCTTTTCCCCTTGGAAATCTTGTTGAAATTATGCTCTTTTCCTAAATGTACATATAATATATATGATAAAAATAAAAGTTTATAATGCACATCTACAGAATAATTTTAGTCAATTAATAAAACTTTTACTTGTTAGAAAAGTGTTTATTTACACGTAATATGTGTGCTATTTTATTGTTATGATATTAATCATTTTTAAGTCAAAAGAAAATTGTTCGAAATTCTTTCTAAAATCAAAATGCAAATAAAAGGCAGATAGAAGAAAATTGTCGGCTCAAAAGATGTAAGATGTTATTTAATTTAATTAATACATTACAAAATTAGTTGACATCTTAAATAAAGAAACAAAATGCGCTTCGATTAAATATTTACATTTTAATTAAACAAATTA